ACAGAAAAGCAGCCAACCACTAAAGAGTTCTTACCTCTACTAAGGCTCAGACAAGCAAAGGGGAGATCCTACCCTCAACGTGACTGCAGACTGCAATGCTCTCCTCCAAACCCCAGACTACAGCGAGCTCTTGTCTCCTCCTGCCTTATACACCTCTCTCTGCCCAGCCACATCACTTCTGTCTCCAATGCCCTAGTGCTGGGATTAAAGGCCTCTGACTCCCCAGCGCTGGGATCACTTTTGTGTGAGGTCTATTTCTCTTTCAGACAGATTTAATCTCGTGTAGCCCAGGGTGACCTTGAGTCCTGGATTAAAAGTGTGTGCCACCACTCCCTGGCCTTTAGTGGTTTAGCTTTATATTCTGATTTTCAGGCAAGCTTTATTTATTAACACACAAGCAAAATATCACTATATATGATAGGGGCTGGAGAGATGGCTCAGTGGTTAAGAGCGTTGCCTGCTCTTCCAAAGGTCCTGAGTTCAATTCCCAGCAACCACATGTGCTCACAACCATCTGTAATGAGATTCGGTGCTCTCTTCTGGCATGCAGGGACACATGCATTCAGAACACTGAATACATAATAAATAAATACATCTTAAAAAAAACCACCATACATGATAAAACCCAATAAACAGTTCTTGCACATGCGTGTGCACACACAAACCAACAACTTACATAATGCTGTAATGGTGAGAATAAAAACAAAGCACATGGGGACCATGGGAGAGGGTAGAAGGGGAGGGGAGAGGCAGGCAGGGGAGCAGAGAAAAATGTATAGCTCAATAAAATCAATAAAAAATAAAAAAAAGCAAAAAACAAAGAGCAATTCATATTAAATTTTGTATTTTACTAAATAAAGTTTGTATATAAACCAAGCAGAAAATATATAACAAAGTCCTCTTTAATTAGAAGATGCAGACAGATGCAGGTGTGTTACGGTGACAACTCCACCCCCCGTGAGGGGCACCCACTCACACGGAAGAAAGCAGCACAGGGCTGTAGTGCCAGCTAACCTGGGGAGTTGACACAGGAAGCGTCCATGAGCACAGGAGTAAGGCTAGCCTGGGCAACATAGCAAAATTTGAAAGGGAGGCAGGCAGGGAGGAAGAGAAGGCAAAGAAAGGGAAGGGAAGAGGTGGGGAGGGCAGGGGAAGGGCCAAAGGAAATTCCGGCCACAGAGAACAAATATCTTTTTTTTTTTTTTTAGTTTTCAAGACAGGGTTTCTCTGTAGCTTTTTGGTTCCTGTCCTGGAACTAGCTCTTGTAGACCAGGCTGGCCTCGAACTCACAGAGATCCGCCTGCCTCTGCCTCCCAGAGTGCTGGGATTAAAGGCGTGCGCCACCACCGCCCGGCGAGATGGCAGTATTTGGAACCAGGTTTTCCTGTTATCTGTGCCCCACCAACTCTGGCCGCCATACCACACTGCTCCTTGACAAGGAGGTGACAATACAGTTATAAACGGTGCTGAGTGCCTGACTTCAGAGAACTTCATCTAGTAAGTCTCTGCAGAAAGAGGACGGTTGACCTCTGGAGTGGACACTACAAATTCAACATGGTTCCCATGCATAGTCGGTCACAGAGCTGGTGGAGGAACCCAGACCCAAACTGGAGGACTGAAGAGGCGCAGAGATTGGCAAGCACAGATTGAGGCCAGAATCTTCGGCTGCCAGGTAATGGGAAGATGAAAAGTTATCAGAAAATGCAGATCACCCAGGGACAGAGAGACCCTAGGAATGCCACCCCGTGAAGACTGGCCACGGCTGGACGGGACACCTGAAGCCGGAGAAGCGAGGGTAATGTGTTGTTTAGTCTCTTCCTGGACCACTCCTGTCTCCTGACAGTAACCCCGACTGCCCCGTCCAAACCCAGTCAACAACTGCCCAAGCCTGGAAACCCCTCTTGTGCTAGTTACCTGTTCGTTCCAAAGATCTGAGGAAAAAGACCACTGGCCCACATCACCATGGGCAAATTCATTAAATTCAGCAATTAACTAAAGCCAGCTTTTCATTTGTGGACACAGAGTGCCTGTGGCTGAGGTTGGGTTCAAGAAGTCAATGAGGGATGAGAGGAAGACAAAGTTTTTATAGCTCAGGGGTGGAGAGTTTCCAAACGGGGGATTTGGTGGGCAAAACTGGCAGGGTTACAGGAACGTAAGTGTAACAAGTTAGTCCTAGCGACCTCGACCTCCTGAAACAAAGGTATGTTTGCAAGGTCGTGTGTGGGGTGTTATAACAAACTTTTGAAACAAAGACATGGTTGCTGTTTTCTGGAACAGGCAGTACAGAACCTTTTGATGTTAAGATTGTGCAAAGGATTCCTGATCCTTGAGAAACAAATTTAATGAATCTGTTTATCTTTTGCCTTTTATTTTTAGTTTGTCATTTATTTATTTATTTATTTATTTATTTTTTCGGGTTTCTCTGTAGCTTTGGAGCCTGTCCTGGAACTAACTAGCTCTTGTAGACCAGGCTGGCTTCAAACTTACAGAGATCTGCCTGCCTCTGCCATAAGATGACCTTTAAGACTAAGGCGGAGGCAGGCTGGTCCAGCACTTTCTGAAGAGGGCCGAGTAAAGGTTTACATCCAAGGGCAGAGGAACCAAGCAGGCACAGGCACATCCTGTTTTGTTGTTCAGAATAAAAAAAATTTAAAGTTTCGTTTAAATTACAAATCATTAATCTTTAGACTAGTTTGATAACAGAAAACAAATTCTCAAATTGCAGTCGACTTGAAACATCTTGCCCACAGGCAGCAGAACCGCATGTGCTCGTGTGCGTGCATGCGTGTGTGCGTGTGTGTTCAAGTGCCCGTCCACACTTGCCTGTGTGTGGGTGTGTGGTGCGTGTATAGGTGTGCATCCCAGAGCACACTCATACAGTGTCTTCTCCTCTCTTTCTCTCTCTCCTCCACTGTCTCGAGACCCCAGAGCACATTTGTTTCTGCTAGACTGACTGACCATTGAGCATCCGGGATCTACTGGACCCATTTTCTCCAGTGCGCCGGTCACAAAAGGACGCTCCGCTTTTTTACCTCGGGTGTGGTTGGAATTCCAGTCCACTTGCTTTCCCTGAGCTACGCCAGTCAGTCGTGTCACCAACCCAACAAGCACCCGTTTCTTTAAACTCATTAACTCACAGGAAGCAGGAAAACAAAACATTACCTAACACCCGGGCCGAGTGCGGTAGCATCATCATCACCCTAAGAAAGAGGAACTTTGTCCTCTTTAAAGGGAAAGGAAGTTGGGTACCAGTCTCGTGGATGTTTTTGAAAGACAACTTAGTGAAACGCTTTTGGGTGGAATTTGCGTGACTGTGTATAGTCTGAAGAGGTGACATGCTGTGCTTTAGAGTCCTGGACATAATTCTTCAGGAATGTGAGGGTGTGGGGGTTCTAAGCCACCTGCAGGGTATTGGAGTCGCCTCTTTCGTTCTGAAGGGCGCACTGGAGCGCCCTCTAGTGGACATGGTTCATCAAGCGTGGCTGCCGGCCTCTTTCCTGGCTCACCATCTAACCAACTAGTGTTCTTTCCCACGCCAAGCATTCTAAGGGACACGACTACTCAGGACGGATTATATTTGGTATATCTCACTTTCAAAAGATTTCCAGAAGTCCAGGCCTGTAAGAGCAAGTAGGGTCTGAGTTTTAGCTCCAACAAGACACGGCATCTTCCAGGAGAATGACTTTCCGGATTTATACTTAAAAAAAAAAAAAGTCAGTTTCTCCTGCATCTTCGGACGTTCCGGCTAAGCAGGATCATTCTGTCGTTAAAAGATTTTGGAGTACAGTTTTCCTTTCCCATTTCCAAGTCTGCCCTCTCCTCTCTCTTTACGCTGCTGCCACCCCCACTCACCTCCCTCGGCCCCATCCTGCTGTTCCGGGATCTTTCTCAGCAAAGATGTCTCAGGTTCGGGAGTCCTTACCTCTCCCCTCCACAGACTTAGCTCTAAGCCTTATCCTCCTTACACTGGGCTGTGAACTAGCCTCTGCCCAAAGACCAGCACATCTTTCAGGGAAACAAAGAGTTCCCCTTGCTTCCCAAACGCCAAGGCTAGACGAAGGACAACTTAAGCTTGTCCATTTATTGCCCATCCAAAGCCTGGGTCGTAAAGCTTGCTCACTATCTGCCAAAAACACTTTCCAGTTGATGAGTGCGTCTTCCTATTTCCTCGTTTAATCAGAATACATCCAGAGTCGGTATTCTCTGATTCTACAGGTGAGGAGGGAATCCGAGACTCGCAAGGCCAAGCGACTTGCACACGGGGCGGAGACCGGCCTTGGGTTCCTATTTGGCTGAGACTCCCGCGGACCTGGGTTTGAATCCCGGCTCAGCCACGGAGTTCAGACAAGCGGCTTCACCTCCTCGCGCCCGTGTCTCATTCTGAAGACAGCATTTCCAATTCGGGACTGTTACTAGGACGATAAAGCGTGCACAGGGTAGCGCCTGACTCAAGGCCGCAGGAACTATAAATGTGAGCTCCCTTTCAGACTCCAAGCTTGGCGAACTGCTTCTCCTATTTCTACAGCGGCTCCTCCCTGTCGGAGCTGCCCAGGCCACTGGGGGTGCCAACTGTGGAGCACCATGCTGGTCCTGACGCTGCATCCAGTATCAGTGATCCTTAAAGAAGCTCTGGGGAGAACGGTAGGGAGCGTGCAGAAGAGGAGAGGTACGAGGAGGATAGAGGGGGCTGGGCCGAAGGAGAGAAAGCTGGCACCCACTTCAGAGGGGCCCTCCATACCGCCCGCACCTTCAGTGTCCCCAAGTGGCCCATGCCCGTTCTCTTCCCTCCCTTCACCCCAGCGTTTTCTCTCCCTAGCCAGCTGTGGGTGGCGTCCCCAGTACATCCGAAGGCAGAGTGGTCCTTGGAGGGGAGGACGTGCGGGCGCGTGGGCACTGGGGCTCCGCGTCCCCAAGAGCTCCGGCTCCGCCCTCCAGCCCGCCCCGCCCCTCCTTTCCCCTCCCCTCCCCGGCCGCCTGGCAGGAGGCGGGGCGTGCGCGCCGAGCTCGGGACGGAGGGGAGCGCGCGTGCAGCTTCTCTCCGCCGGAGCCGCCGGGCAGAAGCAGAAGCCGTGGCTGCCAGCCGGTCCCCGCGTACTGGCAGTGGGCGGGGAGCGGAACGCAGAAGCCAGGCGCGCGCGCCAGACAAGTGTTTTTGTGCGAGGCCGCGGCTGCTTTCGAGCTCTGAACGCACGGTGCTGGGGATGCGAACGACCGCGGCGGCTGTGCCACGAGAACCCAAACGCCATTGACCTGAGCGAGGGGAGAAACTCCCTCGGGTGTGCCCAGGGGAGGGGGGGGGGACGGCGGGAGCGCGGGGCGCACGCCGGGCGGGGCAGGGGGTCAGTGATGACCGGGCGCGCGGGGAGGCTGCACGCCGCCGCCACCGCCGCCCGGAGCATCTGCCGCCTGAGCTGCGGATCGCGGCCGCCGCCCGGGCCATGGAGACACTGAACGGCCCCGCGGGCGGCGGCGCCCCGGACACCAAGCCGCAGCCAGCCGGCCAGCATCACCGCCACCACCACCTGCACCCGCTGGCCGAGAGGAGGCGGCTGCACCGCGCACCCTCGCCCGCCAGACCTTTCCTCAAGGATCTGCACACGCGGCCCGCCACGGCCACCACCTCCTCTGCGGGCCGTGCCCCGACTCCCGCCGCTCCACGCTCGCCCAGCCTCGCTGGGAAGGCGCCGCCGTCGCCCGGGCCCCCGGCGGCACCCGGCCGCCTCTCCCGACGCAGCGGCGTAGTCCCCGGCGCGAAGGACAAGCCGCCGCCGGGCTCCGGAGCCAGGTCGGCGGGTGGCGCCAAGGCCGCCCCGGGAACAAGGAGGGCGGCGCGCTCGGGGCCGGCGGAACCACTGCCCCGGGTCGGGAGGCCAGCTGGGGCTGAGCCGCCGCCTGCCAGCGCGAAGGGCCGCAAAGCCAAGCGCAGCCCCGGGACGCCTCCAGCTCGCGCCGTCGGGCCCCCGGCTCCAGCCGCCCGGGTCCCCGCCGTGACCCTCTCAGTGACCTCGGTGGCCGGCTCGCGTATCAGCCACACAGACAGCAGCTCGGATCTCTCCGACTGCGCCTCCGAACCCTTGTCTGATGAGCAGCGCCTGCTCCCAGCCGCCAGCAGCGACGCCGAGTCGGGCACCGGCTCCAGTGACCGGGAACCCCTGCGCGGAGCACCCACCCAGAGCTCTGGAGCCCGCGGGCCGCCGCCGGGCAGCCCCGAGCCCCCCGCCCTGCTCACGGCGCCCCCTGTCGCTGGTGCCAGTTTCGGGGGCCGAAGCAGTCCAGGCGGGGCCCCCTCAGGGTCCCCGGGACCCGGTTCGCTGGAAGATGTTGGGGGCCGAACGCTACCGGAGCGAACGATTCTCGGGACCCCCAGGGAGCCTAGCTTGGGCGAACAGCCCCGGCTCCTAGTGGTGGCCGAGGAGGAAGAGCTGCTGAGGGAGATGGAGGAACTACGTTCGGAAAATGACTACCTCAAGGTGAGCGACCTCTGGGGTGGCAGGTGTCTCAAAGGCCGACCCCGGGTCCTCTGGCTGCCTCCGAACCCTTTCTCCTGGGGGAGCCTCATTAACTCCTTACCTCTTCTGTTTTGCACCCCACTGCTCTCCAGATCTACTAGGTTCTAGTAACTGAACCTCCAAACTTGTGACTTGTAGGTCTGTTTTTCAATTTTTTGCTCTTACTGTTTTTAGAAGTCTTGCGTGTTTTCGCTGATGCCTTTTGGGTGGCTGTAAATCATTTTGAAAACATGGACCCCCGCAGTGTCACCTGTTGCGGGTTATCTAAATGCCCAGCCGGGACTCCACACGTGCTCTTGTGTGCAGTATGGTTTCCAGGTGCCGGACTTGTCCGCAGGTCCTCCTGAGGGTTCAGAAAGCTGGGCCCGCATTCGGTCTCCTCCAGGCCTTTGTGGGTGTAGCAGAGGGGGCTGGTCCTTTTAGTGATAAAAACAAATTTGAAATTCAGAAGAAGCGCCTTGAACTTGCGGCCTGTGTTCAGGGACAGCAGTATTTGTGGGGGCAGCCCTGTGTAAGTGACCACAAGTAGGTTTTCAAAACCTGTGTCAGGGAAGGACTCTTTCGAAGGAACCGCAGCCTCCCGCACTCTTGAGTATTATTACCCAGTGGGGCCTGCCAGCCATGGTCTTGTCTTGTTAGCCCCGGGATGGATAATCGGTCTCCATCTTCTCTTTGGGGCTGGCCTGCAGAGCAGAGGGTATAAACAGTGTTGGGGGTTGAGTTAAACATTTGGGTTAGACAGAGAAAACAGCAGGGGGTGGAGAGTAAGTGGTGGTTTGATCGGAGAAAACGGGGGGGGGGGGGGCGCTCTCCGGTGTGTGTATGTGTGTGAAAGTGACCTAATTTTTGTAACCCTCGGGTTAGTAAATAACACCAGGAATGTAACTCTTCACAGAGCCAGGTTGCCCATGCTTTCCCCAGTGGGTTATGTGGTTTGTTTTGTTAGCAGGTGTTGGACCTGCCTGATTGAGGCCCTGTGCTGAGGCTGGGATGGGGGGGGGCGGGGTTCAGGTTTTTAAGGTGATTGGTGAACAAGTCAAGCTGGAATGAACACCTTAACTGTGGGTCCTCAGAACCCAAATTGTTTATTTGAGTCCAGTAGTTATCATACGTGAAGCAAGGCAGACAGAAGGGAGAACTGAGCACTTCGGGACGCTTCCGATAATGTATATGCCACTTGGTCTTATGTAATAGACGGCAGCGTACATTTCAGAGGTGTGGACAGAATAAGGCAGCTATGCTGTGTGTGTGTAGCACTAGGGAACACAGCGTCCTGCGGGGTGAGAAAAAGAAACCACGCGTTTGCAGCCCCATGGCCTGCAGCAGTCCTGATCAAATCCCAGGCATCCAGATCCAAACTGCTGGGCAGCAGAAAATGGAGTTTTCTTTTAAAGAAGCTGTCACAGCATCCTCCGTCTGAGAGCAGGCCGCCTAGACATCATTTCTAAGCTCATTTTTGGATGACCGCTTTATTTGCCTTGCCTTCCTCGATTTTAAACGTTGGCTTAAACCCCAGTGAATGAAAGCAGCTCTTTGACCTTGGAGCCTGATTTGTGCGTTTTTGACATTTCATTGGACCTTTACAACATGGTTTGGGGTTTGCCCGCATCCTCCACTCTCCAGCATGCTAGGTGTAGAACACAAGACTGCGCATGCTGAGCAACATCTGTGCTACCAGCCCACACCTTCCAGACCCTGCTGATGTTGTGCCCATCCTAACTCTGATTCCTCAGACACTCAGCATCTCGCTCAGAAGTGGTGCCCCTTCTGTTTGCCCTCTGCAGAGACTCCTCCCCGGCCGCACTCTGCCTGTACACCACACAATACTTCGGAGCTCTCTTTTGCTTTCCTAGGGGAAAGGCCCATAATGAGCATGTCTCACCGGCCTGTGAAAGGCTACAGAAATCCCACTGGTAGGGTTTGATCTGCAAGACGTGTTCAGTTGCTGCTTCCCGGGGAGAAAGTGTCCTGGCTGTCCGTTCGCTGAGCCCTGGACTCCATCCTTCAGCCTTTCCTTGGACAGCAGGAGAAAGAATTGGTTAGAAGGGGTCTGAAGGAGGCGCAGGAAGCCAGAATAATTACCTGGTATATGTATGCCGTGTGTCTGCTGGGTCCTTCAGAAGCTTCCTATATATAGTAGTTCAGTTTTGAAAAGAACAGGGATCCTAACGGACTCTCCTACAGGTCAACAAGCCTGCCCCCTTGCGTAGACACCGGTTGGACTGTCACAGTGACCTCATGAGGTGTGGGCCGTCGGCATTCCTTTTTTGCCCGTGGTAGTTAGAATGTGTAAGTTATAAACTTCATTTTGCCTTTTGCTTATTGATACCGCACTGGGGTACCTTGCCCCCCCCATGATAGAGGGATGCCTGCTTCTTGCACAGAACTCCTGAGATAACAGCATCTGGATGCACCAGTGTTCTCTAAGAAGAGATTTTTGTCCAGAGGTTTTACACTTACAAGTTCTGGATGTTGTGATTACGCGAAGCATCATATTATTTTCTGAGAGAGAACTGTTACCGTGGCGGTTCAGAACTTTCTGATTTGACCAAAGTGTCTGTAATAAGAAAATAAGGTCTGAGAGGATGTCTCACTGGTAAGGAAATTTGAAGGGCATCTTTTGGGTTAGGACACTTTCTCTTCTGTGAGGAACATGTAGGGTCATCTAACTCTTGTCTGTTCTTTCATCAAAGGGCACTAGATAATTAGATGAAAAAACCAGAATGCTTCAGTTCTGGTGGCTTGCCTTTGCTCAAAAGGACAAGTAGAAACACACTTGACCTCTGATTAACTCACAGAGAATACTCAGAAATTAAGGTATCCAGCGTAGGTATCCCATGCCTTTGGGTCTGTTCTAGACAAACCCAGACAAGTTTCTTATTGCTGAGGACAGAATTCACAAACCGCTCGCTTGGTTCCTCCCTGCCTGGCATTTTCGCTTGAGCGCTCTGGGACAATCGGATGAGTAGGGCTGCTCATTGCCCATGTATTTATTATGCCCTCCGTTTCTGCGGGCTTTCTCCCGAGGTCATCACTGAGTTCACTGGCAGGTTTCGAAAATGTCCCTTGCGGTCTTTCACTCTTTACTGTGACGCGCTCACAACGTGCCCCTGGACAGTGGACACCATCCGGACACCACGTCCTGCGTGGTGGCCCAGTGCTAGGCTAGGAAGGGCTGTTCCTTTCTGCTCTGCTTTCTGGGTTATTTTCTAAGAATCACTTTTACTTAAAAAAAAAAAAAAAAAAAAAAAGAGGGCCGGAACACCAGCTTCTTGGGCCGAGTGATTTCTTAATCACTGAGGTGTTGTGGGAGGTCACGTGGATTGAACCCCGTCATCTGGATAGTAAGCACAAATTTGGCATCCAGAACACCCCAAGTTTTGGGGGAGATTTTTAGTTTCTGGCCAACAGGGTTTGTTCCATTTGGCTGACTGAATGGCAGGTGCTTAGCATGGCCTGAGGGCTGGGTGTTAGTACGGGCAAGAATTAGCATCTCTGGAGGGTCATCTCCTCCCTCCTCCCCTCCCCCCCTTCCTTCGCCTTCCTTTTTCTTGGGGGTAGGGATGAGTGTTAACAAGGATATTCTTTATTCTTCCCCGACATTCTGCTTTACATATTGGTGCTTTCTTTTTTCAGCCATGAAAGCACCAATATGTTAATCTTAGGTGGCAAGATGTTGTGGCCTGGGACAGTCGCCGCCACTCAGCTGCTGGCTGGACTGTGACTTGGGAAACAATAGTAGCCGTCCCCGGGCCTGCTCAGCCACAGCTGGTCCCCTACACAGAGCATTTCCCTTGTCCCAAAGGAAATGAGGCGGATTATTCCTCTAAGACAAAAGACAGTATTTTCTGCGGTAAACTCCCAGAAGAGGAGACTATTGCAACATTAACCAAAGGACCGTCAGTGTTCCCGCTGGGTCTGTTTGCAAGGAATTATTAATGTAGGAGTAGTTACTGATCTTTTTTAACGTTCAGGTACCGAGTGATGGATGGCTTTTATTACGGCATTTTCACCCATGTGTGCCATTAACCTTTGATGAAGAGAAATGACATTTGAATATTGTCATTAGTGTGATCTAGAGTTTGGGTAGTTATACCAAGAAACCCTGGATTTTGTGTTTATGGGTAGACACAGGTGGCACCCAACACCCTTCCAATCTGATGTCTGTTAAAAGGCTTGATTCATTATCTGTAGCAAAGGGGAGTCATTGGGCAGCTTCACGCAATCTCAAGAATTCATTTACATAAAATATTTTAAAAGTACAGTAATGTGCAGGGAGGTGGCTTAGTGGGTATCAAAATTGTTGCCAAACCTGGGTTTGATGCCTGCCATATACCTGGTGGAAGGAGAGAGAGCCAATTTCTGAAAGTTAATTCTCTTGGCTTCCTTAAGTATGTGGTGTGTAACCCTTCCCCGCAAGAATAAACACAATGTAATATTTTACAGATAAAAATATATCATAAAAATGTAGTTTTTGAGTGAGATAATGACCTAATATTTAAAGTTATCCGAGCAGTCTAATGCTCAAAAGCAATATTGATTAAGGATACTGCTTTTTTTCCCCTTATAAATCCTGCATTAAAAGGTCATCGGGGCTGGAGCCATGGCTCAGCCGGTGAGGGCATTTGCCGCTCTTGCGGAGGACCTGGGTTCCATTCCTGCACCCACTTGGCAGTTCACCACAGCTCATAAGGGTCCCATGCCTTCTGGCCTCAGAGGGCATCTGCACACACATGGCTCACATAAATCCATACAGGCACATATATGTAAATAAAAAAGTAATACTAAATCTTAAAAAGAAAAGAGAGAAATTTGTGTTCGTGTCTGGGGGTAGAGACACCAGCATTTTCTTTGGCTTTATTTACTATATCAAGATTCGATCTGCCGAAACAATGCATGTTCTGCTTTGTTTGATAGTCTTGAAAAATGACAAAAGTGGCAGACGTCTCTAATGTTCAGGA